TCAAAACGCTTCTTTTTTTTTTTTTTTTTTTTTTTAAGTATGACTGTGCTGCTTTTTTTCTCAATAGCCACCCGTTGCAAATGAGTCCTCTGTTGTTATTGTTGTTTTTAGGCTTGGGATTTACTTTGGTTGTGAAAATATTTTTTTTCCAAAGACGTTATTTAACCCAAGGTGTTGCATCACTCTTAAGTAAAATGATTTTTTTAGTGTTTGCTTTGGATTAATAACCCAGCGCTTGCATTCCTTCAAGAGCTTACATGTCTTTTGTAACTATCAGAAGTTGTACTCACAGCAGCAGATTACTCTGTGGCTGTCCAGGCTCCTCATCCGAACTTCACTGAAGTTCATGAAAGGGCTCGTAGGCATTTCTCCGGATGTCAGACCGGTTCCCAGGACTGATAAATGTTCAGAGCAGAGAGGGTGAAGGAATTTTTTAATATTTGAGAATTTCAAGTTCCTTTTAAGCAGAAATATTTCCAGCAATGGAGGACCAGTTTATATAAGTCTGTTATTCCAGTTGTGGCTACACCTTTACAGCATAATTAATCCATTAAATAAAGTAATTGTGAAGCACTGAATGATAGATGAAGGACAAAGTGCATTCAAAAAGTAAAAATAGATTAGAACTAGAAAATGTTACTTTATTAACTATTGCAGTGCATTTTTGCTTAAACCACTTGGAAGCATTTTTGGCTTCTGACGAATGGGCAGATCTCAGGCGAGAGCCGATGTAGGTGTTCCCGTTCCCATCCTCTGAGCCTGAAAGGTGCTTTTCCTTTGCAATTTAAAGACTTGATTCAAACCTTCCTCACTTCAGTGGTGGTTCGTGTGTTGACTTCAGTTGGCTTTGGAGCCGGCGTTTCACCCGGGATCTTTAAACTGTGTTTAAATGGGGTGCTGAAGAGGAATGTCCTTCCTGTTGTGTCCTGTGAATAGTAGGAGTATTGGTATGAATTACACATTGGAGATAAGGTGTGGGCAGGAACATTTGGGTTGAATATTTTCAGAACTTGTCATACATTTTTGGAAGGGGAGTCTTAAAAGTTCTGCCAGATGTATGTATGTGTGTGTGAGTTTTAAAAAGAAATTGGTCAGCACAGTGTATGCTGGCTAGGACGTACTCAGATCTGTTTTGTGGCTGAGTGGTACTTCACTCCAGGACCAGTCCCACGGAGATGGATGGGGTTTGAGATACGGTTGAGAAAAAAAGGGTGTCGGGAGCTGACTGGTGAGGAATAGCAGAGCCTGTGACTCCAGCTGAGCAGTGGATGCCGGCGTGCCGGGGGCAGCCGAGATTACTGGACCTGCAGTTTTTGTGACTAGAGCAAAATTAGACCATTAGAGCACTTTTTTTTTTGAGAGAGAGAGAGGTTAGAAAGTAAACCTTATCTACCTGGCAGCCTGTAGTGGTAGTTTTATGGCCATATTAGTCTTATAAGTAAATACTCTGTGCGTTTGGGCTCACCTGTAGCATAGAGCTGTCTGCTTCGTTAAATGTGTGTTTAGGAGGAGTGCTAGCCGTTTGGGTTACACATGCTGTTTAGTTGCTTTAGCCTAATGCAACGGCTTTTTCCTAAGTTACTAGCCGATCTGTAAATACGTATTTTGGTCTGGCTTCTGCCGGTTGAGCTAGTGTAATATTTACCCAGTAGAGTACAGTCTAATGGCATTTATCATGTAAATCCCAAGGTAAGATCTGTAAGCTTTTTTCCTCAAGCGAATGTTTGTTCTGATACACAGTTTTCCCCAGAGTCGTTATCATCTTTTATGTACATTTTTACAAGTTGCCTGTTTAGGTACTGCTGATCAGTGCCTTTGGTCTATCACTCCTGCTGTCAGACATTAACAGAGAAGTGAGTTAATCAAGCTTACCTTTGGGGTGTAATCAGAACCTTTAACTAATGGAATTTCTTGTTGGAGAAAGGAGATTGGCTTTTGCATTAAATTCATATAATAAAAAGTCTGATAAGCTTTTGGTTAAAAAATAGGCAAAAGATGTGCAGTAACCTGTTGCCAAACCCTAGCATGACAATTGCTTTTCATGGTTTCTAGTTTTTCAAACATACCCAATGGTTTGCATTTTGGTTTGTGCTTATCTAAGCTGTATTGGGTAAGTGGCTGAAATATTCCCCCCCTCCCCTCGTGGGGGGAATGCTACCACAGTAGCATTTTCTTGGATGTGGACACTTATGCAAAGCTTTTTCTATTACACATTTAAGATGTATTTTAGTTACATGTAATTCTAGATAACAACCACAGAATCCATATTTAAACTTCTATTTTAGCTACTTCCACTTGGACTTCCCTAATAAAACTATCATGCAGTCTTGCATTTGCAAAGGCACTCAACCATAAGATATTATCATAAGAAACCAGAAGGAATAGTTACTTAAAAGTCTTTAAATTAATGGATAATTTCCTATCTTAGCTTCTCCATAAGACAGGATTCTTGACTGTTTGGTACGCTTGGTCCTTGTACTTGCCTGAGCTCACACAGGCTCTGGGAAAGCAGAGTGGGACGTGCCACGGTCCATCAGTGCTCAGAAGTTGGGACTGTAAATCACTGACAGTCCTGGGTTCGGCCCTGAGCTGCTCCGTATGTGGTTGTGGCTTTAAACAACCTGGGCTCAACTCTGAAACGTGCCAGGAGCCTGTATGTTCAGATCCATGGGAGACACAAGTATTGCAAATCAGCCTTAAATCTTGTTTTTCAGCCCTAATGAGCCATGGTAACTTGTGGGGTGTCAGAGGCAGCTCTTGAGCACCTGATCTGTCCTATTTATGGAATATATTTATTATTCATTTTGTTTGCCTCATGCTGTATTGAACTCCAGGCCTGCGACCGAGACCAGCAGTGTGGAGGAGGGATGTGCTGTGCGGTTAGCCTTTGGATCCGCAGCCTGCGAATGTGCACGCCAATGGGAAATTTGGGAGAGGAGTGCCATCCTTTGAGTCACCGAGTGAGTACGTCACCAGGGGGGCTGTGGGACCAGAGCTGGCAGGGCAGAACTGCGCTGTACGTCACACTGCATAAAAACGATACGTGGTGAAAAGGTGGGGGAACATCCCATGCATTACAATGCCCAGCCATACGCATCTGTATGGAAATAGCGCTGAAGGTACCTACGTCAGGAAATACATTACTGTCAGAACTGTGCTGAAGAGAATCCAAGGATGAAAATAATACACGCTTTTCAGTTTGTTTTCTTATTAGTTTGTTGTTGCTGTTTTGCTTCATTACACGATCCAAAACAGCCTTAGCAGTTCCCAAGCCCAACCCTGCCAATGCCTACGCGCGTGAGCAGGGGCGTAGCAAACACCACCGACCTCAGTGGAACTGGGCAAGATCCCATCACAAGCATAAAAACGGCACCAGCCGGTGTTGGGACACCTGGCGCATCACTGCAGCACGGTCCCTGCCATCAAACAGCAACGTCCAGTTGCGCTCCAGAGGCTGAGAGCCACTTCAGAAGCCATTGAGAAACTGTTGGCACACACTCGTATTTGAGAAAACTCACCGCAGGCTCTCTTTGCTTCTGTTCTACCTATTAATGAATATATATGTAGGTATACATATGCACACACATGTATAACACACTAGTTACATATTAGTACATTATTATATGACACACTATACTATTAATATAAAGATATTAACAAATACATTTATTTAAGGATATGTAATTATGTACATGTACTATGAAAAAGTTTGTTTATTTCTAAATAATACAATCTGTATACAAAAGATTGAATGGGATGTTGCCACGGAGCTTGAGAACCTGGTGGTCTTCAGAGCCATCCTCAGGAAAGAGTATGGCCCGAGAGTCATCACATGTGAAAGACACCACGGCAATAAATTTAGATTATAAATGTGCAGCTGGTTAGCTGCCTCTCTCACTGTCTCATCTAACGCCTGGCTTCTCAGCTCAGTATCTATGGTTTATTATTTTCCCAGTTTTAGGAAGTGCAAGGCTCTGTTCTATTACAGTTAAATTTTTACATCTTCTGCTGTGATGTTGGGAACCAAATTCTCTTTTTTACTATCTAGTGTAGCAAGTTTTTCTTGTAAGGGCTCTTTACATTAACAGGAGTCTCAGGATAGGAGAAACTGTCTTCTAGGTTTTTTATGACCTTATTGCTATTGGGTAATAATTTATACTGTCTGATATATTTTAAGCTAATTGCCCACATAATTACAATCAGAGAAGACGCCTGTCCACCCCAGACTTGCGGTCACAGCCACTGATGTTTATCAGCTTTATGAGGTTAATTTTAGATTTAGATTCCTCACCCCACTGCTCTTCATGACAAACACAAAGTAAATTGATTTACTGTAGTATGTGAAATTAGGTATTTTTAAGGATGGAGAGTTTGCTTAATGGTTCCTCTCCCCTAAATGTTTGGGTAGGGGGCAGCTGGGAGACCAGTTGCCCTCAGCACCAAACCTTCCATCTGGCTGCAGGTCAGGTACAAAGGCACCACCATGGCCACGCCACCGCCTCGGGGACCTCCAGAGGGACCTGGAGATACCCTGGAGGAGATGGCTGCCGGTTGGGTTTCCACCTTCTAGTTTCCTTCTCAGCAACTAGATGACGTTGGCTTGATGCCGTTAACAATCTCCGTTGGCATTGCAGAGGCAGGGTTTGCAGGCAGGAGGGCAGGGTTTGCAGGCAGGGCCAGGCAGGTGAGGTTTGGCAGGTTAGCAGACAAGAGCTGGCAGCACGGGGGTGGCTTCACTGCCACTGCGCACCTTGCACATAATCCCCACGTCTCTCCCAGGAGCTCCCTTGTTTCCTTTTCACCTCCAAACTCCCATCGCCCCGTGCTCATTAAAACCCAGTGCTGGGCACACGGCGTGGCAAAGCATGCACCGGCTCAGCCGGCATCGCCAGCACCGGCTCCAGGCACGTGGGCTCTGCCTGTGCAGGCAGAAGCTGCACGCCCCGGCAAAGCGCCTGTCCTGCAGAGCTGTCACCCGCTGCCTGTCCCCAGCCAGGTGTGTTCTTAAGCCACGTCTTCAGCGTGGGAGTCCTGCTGAAATGAACGTTTCCTTGCAGCGCGTGTAATGTCTTGAATAAATCACTTGAGCTGTCGGAGGGCTGAGAGGTACCTCTGAGTCGGCCTTACCAGCCCGAGAGGTGTGATTCCCATGGGGAGTCCCTGGCACCCGCGGTCGGTGGCCTCTCTGGTCACGGGGCCGTGGCGGATGGCGTGGGAAGACCCACGGCATCCCTCGCTCTGGGGCTGCTCTTCAGACGGTGCCGGGTGGGCGGCTGGTGCTGGCCCAGGGCACCGCAGGCGATGTGAGCCCCCCGGCTCACCCCCTGCACTTGGCGGGGTGTCACTGGGGTCGGGCAGGTCCTTGGCGTGACGCATGGAGGAACATGTGGGACTTTCTCCCTTCGACTTTCTTAAAGAGAAAAATTGTACGCTGATAGAAAGCAATCTTGGAATATTAAAATTGCAGGCTCAAAATGCCCATAAATCAGGAAATGAGGGAATTAGGGCTGCCTGCCCTGCTGGCAGTGGCGGCTTTGTACCTCTGTGCTTCCCTCGCTGCATCCCGCCGGATGCTCAGCGCACGCTGCTGGCTGGCAGCACTGTGGCTCCCGGCCATGCCGTCCCACCGGGCTGTCCCGCTCGGCTTATGTGCTGGCGGAGGCACGGCTCCCGTAAAAGACGGAGCTTGTAGTCAAGTTGTTAAAGAGTGTCAGTGCATGTGCATGTCATGGTGCAATTAAATTTGTTTAATGCAGTCCTTATGTGTGCTCCCTGCAACACAGCGTGGCTGGAGGAGGGTGGGATGAAATGAGAAACCTCTGCCCGGTGGCGAGGGGATCCTGCTCAAAGGGAGGTCAGGTGAGATGACCTCCAGAGATGCCTTCCAGCCTGAATGACCATGGGATCCTGCGGTTCCCGGGTCCTGTTATGCGGCTGACAGGCTGCTCTGTGCCATATGGCAATGCAGGAATCAGGGCAAGCAGAAACCCCTGCACGGTAAACACCGCAAAACACGATGCTAAAGGCCACTGTAGTTTCACAACAGATGCCTTTATGAAATTGAAGTAAATGCAGAACATGTGTCACAGATGTAGATTTACACAGCAACACGGAATGTTACTTTTTGCTCTTAACTGCGGCTTAACTGGGAAACGCAACGGGGTTGGCTTTGCCGTCTGCTCTCCGGCCCCCGTGCTGCAGCTCGTGGGGATCTTCTGCCATGGAGGGAGGCGGGCAGCGTTCCCCATATCTCGGCTGTTCATCCGAATCCGTCCACCCCAAGCACCACTGCCTGTGCTCCCTGTCCCTGATGTCTGTGCTCTTTGTCCCCAGGTTCCCTTCTCTGGGCGGCGGATGCACCACACCTGCCCGTGTCTCCCCAGCCTGGCCTGCGTACGGACTTCTCCCAGCAAATTCAAATGTTTACCAGACTTCAGAAAAGAAGATGTCTTTTTTTAGCAGGAGCCATTCTGCGCTAGAAAGAGCCACTCGATGTATTCTTTTTCTTGTTATTGTGACAAACAAGGTACTTGCCAGGGGAAACCCTTTACCATACTTTCCTGCCTCACCAACATTAAAACTGGAGATGAGATACTGTGCTGTAGTGGCCAAGGTTTTCAGGAGGGATTCACGGTGGCGGATGCTTTCATTTTGGGGTGAGCAAAATGACACCTGCTAAAGCAAGACTGCTTTCTGAGGGCAGGAGCTTAACGATTTCTGAACCGTCTCATGGTCTTCATGGTTCCAGCTTAACCCCAGAATGAAAACATCCAAGATTATTGCCAGTTTTGGAAAATTTTGGCCACGTTTTTACACTTCGGAATGCCTGAATTGAACTGAGTTGAATAATTGCATAGTGTGAAGCATATGGCGATTGCCAAAAAACTGTATTTACATTACATTTCATATCTTTATTAATATAACTGTATTTGTAAGTTAGGCACATCTCTAGGGTAAAAGTTTAACCAATAGATGTAGTTTTTACACTTTTTAAAAGTGGCAGGTGGAATCAAAGCATTTCAATATTCAAAGCATTAAAAGATTTTGTTATTTTCGTATTCTAAGATGAGAAGAAGTTGTTGTTACTTGAGTTGGTGTAAAACTACCTGATCATCTCAAACTATGTATTAAGATGTAGTTTATATTAAAAAAGGAACCCTGAAGTTTATTGTAATGGGCTGCCTGACTTCTTGTATATGTATCAAATTTGCTGTGTAAAAATTCTGTATCAGAATAATGGCACTATATGATTTGATTTATTTTAATATTATAACATTATTTTGTCATTGTGGTTTTCCATTTTTATTCAGTGTGATCTGTTATCACATACTTGATTCACCCAAGCTAGCAGAGCTCCTTATGGATAGCTTAGCAAAAGATGATATGCCTCTGGCTGCTTTTAGGGAAACTCAGCAGTTTACAAGGCATGAACTCCTCAATCAAGCTGCAGTCTCAGACGATGGAGGAATCTTGGTGTAGCTAATACAAGAGGTTTTTCTTGGCACATGCCTCAAAGGATCAACTTTAACCCGGCAAACATATAATTTGTGGGTTTTCTATGAAATACCGTGCAACTTCATATTTACTTGTCAGTCCCTGGAGCTGGAATTCCAATAGTTTGTGTGAGTTTCACACATTTCTTGCTCTCAGACATGCAAACATATGCTGGAACTGGAAAAGTGAAGTCATTCATCACTCAACAGTCAGTGCTTTGCTGATGATGATGGGGGGGTGGTGGTGGTGGTGCGTTGAGAGAAGTTAGCACACTTGTATTAAAGCAAACACCTGTATTAGAGAAGATGAGAAGTGTCCCAGCGAGTTTACCAGGTACCTTCCACTAGGCTCCACAGCCTCCCTGAGGAGACAGAAAGGAACAACTGGATCTGCTATTTGGTCAGATCCTTGTGGATCCTGCACACGTTAAAAGAATAAGTGTCTTGAGAGGTAGGATTGCATCCTCCCAACTCTAAACAGCCCAACCCCAGGGCTCCTGCTCCAAAGCCTATATATTTTGCTTCACCCTTTGCAGTGGCGATACAGCAGCTGTGCAAGTGATAACCTACTCAGGTCCTGTAGGAAAAAAAAAAAGAAAGTCTGAGGTGCCACCAAACGGTAATTTTATATGTGGTTTGCATTAATGTGATCAGGTACAAAGTGCCTGTATTAGATCTGAAGCCTTAGAGGAGCTCAATTCTAACCCAAAGGGCTGGATTGTGCTGGTGAAAGACCAGCTCATTCCCGTGCTAATGCAGTGACCTGTGAGCACTGCAGAAATTCCCGTAACCTGGATTTAAAAACAAACCCAAAACCTGATCCTGCCACTGTCATTTAATAGTGGGGCTCCTCAAACACCCCGTGCACCCACACAGTCTGAGTCTGCAGAGGAGGAACGCACTGGGAGCCTGGGGGGTGGTTTTCTGTCCATGTCTATCAATTTAAAATTAGCTTAATACCATGGACTTCAATTTACACTCAAAGGGAAAATCAAGAAGGCAAATAGAAGCAGCCCAAATGTGTATGTGTCCCATCTCTTGCTCCATTCATTTTTACCAAAGCACATTGTCACGGTGCTCAAAACGATGAACCGTAGCAGGAAACGCCAGCCCTGCTTCTCGTCTCCCACCGGCATAAATCACCAGTGACTCCACTGAAGGTAATAATCCTGGTTTATGTCGTTGTAAGTGAGTGGAAAATTATATCTGATGACTGCCTTAGACCTGCCAAACCGAACTCCTAGGAGAGTTTATCAGACAAGAGCAGAGCAACTTTGTAGTTGTAATTTGTGCCAATTAACTTGTGGGATTAGGCATTTATCTGGGTAATGAGGACAGCCCCAATTACATGAGTTCAAAGTTCACACCGTATATAGGAGGTCGCAGTACTCGTGTCCTGCAGACACTCCTGGACAGGGCATTAGGAAGGTGCTTCTTTGAGAGAGACGTTATCCTGTACTTGCCCCCGAGGGGCTTCTCCACACCTTCCCCGCTGTCGCCGGAGCACGGCTGCTGGCGTAGAAGAGCTAAAGGCAAAACCTCACTGTCCTACTTCCCCACTATATTCACTTGGCAATCATTATTACCACAATTCCCCTTTTAGTAATTTAATTCTTATTAATTGACACTCACAATGAAGGTTAGTTGATTTGAGAGATCATTTTGGAAGGAAGATTAAGCTTTTGCATCCCAATTCTTTCCTAAACTCTGTCCTAATCAATTATCTTTTCTCCCATCAAAGGGGAGATTTCCTAACCCAAGCACACTTGCAAAGTCCCTTTAATTTCTTTCTGCAGTGGAAGAGGGGGGGGAAACTCCTTTACCTTTGCTTTACAGTGATAATAGGTAAACCGGTGACCACAAGAAGTATTTCAAAACGTAAATGGCCATGCATGCCCCTCTGCTTTTCCCTTGAGCCAGCTTTTGACTTGAGGGGCACAGCAAACTCGACTCAACATGACTGACGGAAAAGGCGGCCAGCCTCGCGCCAGCTCTGCCATGAAAGGCTTTCTGCAGACCCCTGCGCGGCTCAGTTTGCCTCAGCATCACCCTGGCAATAATCCCAGGCCAGGAACAGCTTCCTCTCCTGCCTGGGAGGAAGGGAGGGGGACAGGCCCTTGCAGGAGAAATCAGACGAGAAAAGAGAACAAAACTCTTGCAGCCCTGGAAACACCTTCGTGAAAGGGAGAAGTCTCATTCTCCAGTACGCGTAGCTTGTTAAGAGAGAGCCTGGTTTAAACACTTTCCTTTATTCACTCCACTTAGGAGTTCTGTGCCAACATTTGGTTTAATTTTATTAATATTGAAGTATTATTATTAATTATTAATAGAAATGTGTGCATTAATTTTTAATATTATTTTAATATTGATATTTCAGATATGCTATAGAATAATAATGATATCACACCAAACTGTAGGAGTTTCCATGTTTATTACCAGATTTTGGGTTAGCAGAGAGCCATTTCAGGAGAGGACACCACAACATATAGTGAGTTGCTGCCTTAATTTGATTACCTGCTTATAAGGAAAGGTGAAGCAAGGTGTTTCAGGTTTGTGGGTGCACAGCTGGCTGAGCAAGCATGCACCTGTAAGCCTGGGGGGCTGGAGGGAAAGCTCTGCTGCTCAGCAGGAGAAAACCCAGCTGAAGCTCAGCTTCATCTGCATTCTCTGCCCACAATTCCCCCCTGGGAAATTTTGTCATTTAAAAAAAAAAAAAAGTTACAAAATCTTTGAGGGGGGGAGGGGGAGACACAAAATAAATTCTCCTGGTTGTGTGGCACATGGGACTCAGATCTGCATGGGTGCTTACCTAGGAGACAGGTCACCCTAACCACAACCCTGGTTTTATAGGAGGAGTAGCTGAAGTGAGGCTAGTTGATGTAAGGTTGAAGATCATACTGGAGGATGAGAGGACAGCATGGAGTAATACATACCTGTATGGTTGAGCTTCTAAGGTAAGAGATAGGATTAGGGTTGGTTTTATTCCTTTGTAGGAGGACTAGAAGCTTTAGGCTCCTTGTTATCCTGAAACTCTAGTGTGTTTGAAGATCTTATAGTATATCTTGTCAAGAAGTACTTTGCTAATTTGCCTCATCAGCATAGTGCATCATAATGATGTATGGTAACAGCAAGCATGAGCACAGGCTGAGGTCCTCACTGATGCCTCCCCTGCTGTAGTAGCTCTCTGATTTGTTATTACTGCACAGATAGATATTCAAAAGAAATAGAAGGTGCTAAGAATCCCTTGACTTAAACAAGATGTCTCAGGAATTTGATCTTGATGATGTGTAACATGTTTTCCAGAAGGAATTAGAAAATTGCAGGAAGAGAAAAGACTGTGCAAATACAAGAGGATTTTGATAACAGCAAAATCAATGTGCCTTTCTCTAGTACATAGATATGAAATGCCAAACCAGCGGGGGTACAGCTGTTAGACTAATCAATAATTCTGAGCACAGGAATGGAGAGGAGTTTAATGCACATCAAACATACAGCAAATCACCTATCATTTCTCAAGGAGAGTCTTGAGTGCGGGCGGACCCAGCCGAATGCAGTAGGATACATCTCAATGATTTGGCAGGGCAGATTCCCCTGTATGATCCAGCCACCTCGGAGGACGGTGGTAGCCTTTGGGCCGCTCTGCCCGGTCATCAGGGCTGGGAAAGGCTGAACGTGAAGGGCTGAAGCTGAGTAAGCCTGGGGCACTGAAGGGAGGGTGGATGGCAGCATGTCTCATGGCAAGGAGTACAACGCAGGGTGACAGCAAAATGTGCAGGAAAGGAGGAATGAGCAATATAACCATATAGCACACTTTTAAACACCCCTATGGCAGGGGTTTCTCAAAGGTCTGAGTATAAGACAGCTTAGTACGGGGGGGGGAGGGAAATGAATGCATGCACAACGCAAAAATGATAGAAAGTCTCCTCTGCAAACCCCAGTTTGCCTGGGAAACTGGGTACATGTTAC